AAAAAAAGGGCATACTACCCTGACATCTTTTAGAGTTATACCCGAAAAAGGGAGCTTTTCAAACATCCCACACATTTCAGACCACTCTGTTTCTTATTTTTTACCGACATTAAAAAGGATGAAGGTTATCAGTTTATCGGAATAATTTTTTTTTTGTATGTTAACGGATAACTTTGGAGGACGTGAACCGTTTTCGATAATTATTTTTTTATCGGATATATGGACATTGTGGTGCTATGCTAGTTTGTTGTTTTTTCCGATTATTGAATCATGAAGAAATTAACGGCACTCCTTAACTTTTATATGAGCAATGAAGTTGGGTTTTTATCCTAAAAAAAAATTGCTTGTTAATTTAAAAGACTTTTTGGAGTTGCGCTTCAGAAAGCGCATTCTTTATGACGGGCAGAGATTGCCGTCGCTATTGCTTGCTTAATGTCGAGACAGCTTTTGGTAGCCTTCTTTCTGTATCAAACGTAAAGCGTCGAGGTCGGCATTATTCGATTGTTTCTTCGCCTGCAATGTGACAAAACCGCGCGATGGGAGGTATATCTATCCAGAAAAGAATAAAAAGAAGTGTCCCACAAAGGAGATGCAATATTTTGGGTCGTTCTCATTACCTACTGTTCGAAATTTTGGAGAGGAGCAGCTTTCGGTTGGATGAACTAGCACTAGAAAGCTCTAAGTATGCCTAATGAATTATTGCAAGCACACTATTTAGTTAAGTTAGCCGTATTTAAGGAGCTATTGAGATTGCAATACGTTTCTTTAAACAAAGTATTCTCTGGGCCTATAAAGATTAGAAGCGTTGACTATAAATTCACTTCTAATTATGGGTACCCCACAATTCTAAAAGAAAGTGAGAGTTGCTTAGTATGCTGGGTCCAACTTGAGCCTTCACTACTCATATTCTTTCAAAGGAGGATTGGATCAGCGCTGGATGGAATGGTAGGTGGATATATCATTCGAATGGTTTTCTAAATTAACCTCACAAGCAGAACATTTGGGGCTTAAAAGTATAAACGCCGTACAGCATATAAAAATATATACTCCAATAGCCAGCGGTCAATTAAGGCTTTCCTCTGGGCCGCATGAGAAATTGTGTAGACTCTAATTGGACACATTTTGTCTGATGATGGAAAGTTCAGAAATAAGAGTATGCCCGCATTTTACCGAAGAGTATTTACGATTCTTCGCGGCCATATAGAATGCTGCGCTATAAGGCTCATATGGCTTGTAGTCCATTCCGATATTGCAGGAAACTGTTTTTGTTGCAGGGTAAAGACATTGCGTATACTCTAAATGGACACATTTTCCCATCTCAGCGAGTGCTGGATCGAAGCGATCAGAATTGAAGGGGTCGTTAAGCTTAACAATCGCTTCGGTCGATAATGGCGGAGACCTTAATAGGCCGTTTTCCGTTTGAAATCCATGCCGTAAGGCCCAACATTACCTCAACCACTTACTGTGACAACTCTTTGGCAGAAGATGAGATGGAATCAGCTCAGCATTTCGCTTGATCCCTAAATTTTTATTCACTTCTGTTAAAATTTCAATAAAAATATAATCCATTTGCAGAACTTTACTGTGGGTACGCAGCATTTTTTACTGCTACTACAAAAGCGTCACTCTTCGATCTTCCTCTCTTACTGTGCATTACTATTTGACTACTCTTCGTAATCCTAAATGTCAACATAAAGCACAGCTTTTAACCAATGCCAGTGGATATACAGAAATCAATAATATTTAATAAGTAATGAATAACATTACTTAAACCTTTTGAAGCGCGAAGCGAACTTACATCCTCACTTTTTCTACAATGGATTTGAAGTAGTAAATTAGGAAAAAAACACTTACTTTTGGAAGCATATAAAAAAAGATGCACTCCCATTTGCAGTAAGTGGTTTTCTTTAAGCGCCACATAAAAATTTCCAAGATGAATTGTATTTACTATTTATTTACAAATTCATGAATAAACACATATGCATGCACGTGTTAATGACAAAACTAAATTTGAACATGAAAATCACTGACCATTTACGTAATTTTATTGCGATGCAAAAAAAAACAGCACCAAAAAGTGCCACCGATTCAAAAGAAAACAACGCAAAGTCAATTTATGGTAAATAAAAATTAAGGAAATTAAATTTTGCTGGTCATTTCCTAAACTCAATCTTCAGCTGGCACTTGGCTGATTGCTTGACTCATGCTGCCGTTATTTTTCATGTTTTGCGGTTTGCGTTTTTTTGCTGCTGCTGTGCATGCGTCGGCCAGGCAGGCGTGCAGGTAATTTTCTCGCGACCTCTGGTCTGACATGCCAACAATAAATGCATTTAAATACACACTAAACACGAACATTTGCATTGCATTGCATGCAAACGCAGTAAAATATAAAATAAAATAGCGAAAAACGCAATTGAACAAATATTTTTGAGGAAATAGAAACCTTTGCAGGCCTACAAATTTCTATGTATTTTTTTATATATTTTACTTACATATACAAACAAGTATACAATGCGTTTCACTTTGATTTTTTGGCTATCTGATAAATTATTATTTTTTATTTGTGTTTGTTTTTCCTAAACTTTGTTTGCGGCTCATTCTTTGCTGCGATAAAAAAAAGTGTGAGTATGTGTATGTGTGTGTGTGTGGGTTGTTGTTGCATAAACGCATCTCACTTTTGACTTTTGACTGCTTGATGTTGGCACTTTGATTGACCTTGAAGTGCGGAAGCGTATTCTGCTTTTCGATTTGCGGTTATTTGTAGCTTTTTGATGAGTTACATGCACGTGAAACAAAAGACTTAGGCAGCGAACCCGAAATGGAAGTTGTTTAGAAATTATAGCTCTAAGGGATTTTATTTTGTGGAAACCAAGGCACATTGAATAGGTAGCATCAGTAGAGCAGCTGATTAGATTTTTTTTTTCAAAAGTTTAAGTCTCTAAAATTTCAAATATTTTTATTTTCTTCTCACTAAAATTCTCAATTGTCAAAATCCATTTGAAATTTCTTTTTCTTACATATTAAAAAAATGGGTTACTTGTTTCACAATTCCTGTATAATTTCCAAAAATCCTAGACTGCACAACAATTACGTTGAGGTTAGTAACGGCCGAAACATTGAAATATGACCACTTATTCGTTGAATTGCTTTAAATTAGTTGACAATTTTCTAATGGCGTTTCCTTAACTACCAAACAATTTTAACTTTTTATTGATCGCTTAGCACAAGCAGTAAGAAGAGAAGAGAAGAGGCCATTTTTGTTCTTTTTTTTGTTTTTAGAAAAAACTGTGAAAATTTTCGCACATATGAAATTCTAATTTAATTCTTATTTGTACTACTTTTTCAAAATTTTTCTAAAAAACTACCCAAATGATTCCATAAACAACTATTTAAAAAAAGGAAATTTCTTTTTCGCGTTCACATTCTGAAATTTTATTAAAAAAAAGTCTACCAAATTTAATTTTTATACCCAATTTATTTCATCTATTTCTTTTTGAAATTTTCGAAATTTGACTAAAATGAAACTACCCAATTTGCAAATATATATTTTATGCTATTTCGAAATTTTGTTAAAAAATATTAAAAAAATTTGTGTTATATCCAATTTTTTATCAATTTCTTTTTCTAAAACAAAACTGGTACTACTTTTTCACCATTTCGAAATTTTATAAAAAAGTCTACCATATTTATTTTGAGTACCCAATTTATTTGATCCCTTTCATTTCCAAAACTTCGAAATTTTACTAAAACAAAACTATCAAATTTACATACATATATCTCGTACTTCTTTGTAACAATTTCGAAATTTCATAAAAAAAATCTATCAATTTCCTACGTTTTCAAAATTTCGAAATTTTACCAACACAATCCACGCATTTTATTTCTTTACTATTTTTGAATCCGGAAATTTTACTAAAAAACTACCAAATTTTTTTTTTCTACTACTTTTTCTAGATTAGGAAATATTGCTAAAGATTTATCAATTTGTGGTGTGTGTCCTTATGTTATAAACGAAATGGTTTTTATGAGAAGCTTTTTCAAGGCAGAAATACACTAGAATTTTCGCCATTGCATGCCGAGGGCGACCGCTTTTACAGCCAATTTCACGAAAGTAATTTAAGTGAAAATTGACAGAAAATAAAACCGGCTGTTAGAAACAAGATTTTCTAATTTAGATGTTGCCCTGAGCAGAGATCGAACCCAGACCCTGCGAAGTGACAGTACGCACCTCTAACCACTCAGCCACAGCGGCCGTAACCAAAGCGGGTGTGATACATTTAAGTATATAGATATTTATTAAGTTTTCGAACCAAAATAAAATGATCAATAATCTTCACTTATAATCAATCAACATCCTTTCTTAAAATCAATCAATAAGATAGCTTCCGTCCAATGCTTACAATTACATACCTACAAATATATCTATTTGTCACGCAAATCGCATTTAGTGGCACTCAGCGCAACTAATGCGTTGATTGAGCCGTTATGAGCAATTCAGTCTTCAAAGAGTCAGATAATTGATAAAAGTTTGCGCATGATGACCTATAATTAAACGCCCGAATAGGCCAATTTAGATTGACTTTTAGCTGAACTGTATAATTTCGCATTTTATATGTACATATGTATGTATATAAGTATTTACAATATT